AGATCACTACAAATCTGATCTAGTAGTGAAACCCTGAACACCCTGTAGACCTTTCCCTAAAACACACACACACACACACACACACAAAAGAACCAACAACTATATAAAAAAGCATAGAAAAATAAAAAGAAAACAGTAACATAAGGTAGCCTAAAGACATGAAATTAGTGAAGATTAAAAATAATAAAAAAATTAATAATGACATCATGGAAGAGGTATGGACACAGAAGGAATGGAAGAGGTAAGATTTTCTTTCAAAAGGAAAAAATGAGGAAAAAAAGGAAATAGAGGTAGAAATTCAGTTAAAGAATTTTAAGTGTAAATTAGATAAAAGTAAGAAACGAGGGGTCATTCGATGGCCCTGTGTCTCACGGAGGCCTTGATCTGGGGGCTTTGCATGCTTCACTGTGCACTGGAGCCCCTGCTGTCTCCGAGTGAGCACCATGGGCATGCAGGCCCATGAGGGTGAGGTGCCCCATGAACCCCTGAGCCAGCTCTCCAGCCACCCAGTGGTGTGCGAAGCATCCAAACAGCACCACATTCCCAAATGTTTCAGAGAGCGACGAGAAAACAGAAAGCCAAGCTACGTGCTGAATGGGGCCCTTGGCAAGAGGCCGCTGCTCACAGTGCTTGACCCCGGCATTTTCAGGTCCAGCCTGTGCAGAAATTCACACTCGGTAGATCTCTCTGCTCCCCACAGAAGGCTGTGCTGAGACCTGCAGGTGCCCAGGGCCTGAATGCTTCACTCCTTACTCAGAGCGTCTGTCACAAGCTCACTCCTTAGGCCATCTGTCACAGCCACCTCAGACCCACTCAGGCGGCAGGGCTGCCTCGGGAATCCTGAAGTGGGGCTGCTCCTAGAAGTGTGACTCCAGATCCCCACAGCAAGCTCAGTCCCCGACAGTAACCTCCATGTCAAGAGCCCCCCGTTTCGTATTGTTGTCTATGTGACCTTTCTCTTTGCATAGCATTTTAACTCTCGTTATCTTCAGAACTCTTCCTCTCTCTCTTCCTAGGAGCGTAATTTCTTTTCCTAATGTGCAATTCTTCCAATACAGAGTCATATACAGGGTAGTTCTCTCACCTTACCCAGAAGTTCTCCAACTTTACTCTCATAGATCAATACTTTCGCTCATCCAGGTCTTTGGCTTTCCACCGTTATTTGATCAGATAGTGTTCCTTCTAGCAGTTTTTTTTTTTTTTTTTTTTCCGGAACCAGGGATTGAACTCAGACCCACGGCTTGCCAGGGAAGCACTTATTCTACTGAGCCATCTCCCCGGCCCCCTGGCTTTCCACCGAAGTTACAGAATTTACTTGTTTACATCTACAAAACCTTATTGCAACTGTGAGCAAATAACAGTAAATCTACAAATCAATTTAAGGATACTGGACATCCTCGCTGTATTGTGTCTTCTAATCTGTGAACATAAATTGCTCTTCAAATAGTCTTTTGTTCTTTCATCCACATTTTGTTGTTTTTCAGCATATAAATTCTGTATGGCTCAGAGTTGTGTCAACATATTACAATTTATTGGAGCTAACAAATTCGGTGTTCACAAATATTTTTTGGTCCCACATCTTCACTGTGATCTCTTTTGCTTCAAGTTCAGCTTCTAGTACCTCATTCCATGACGGTCCAATAATGAAAACTATTAGTGTTTTTATCTCTAAAAATGTCTAATTCACAATGTTCAGTAATACTCGAAAGCTAAGATAAACATTTTCACCTAGAATATTGGAAACACTGTCTCCTAACACCTAATGTTACTGCTGATAATAAAATAACATACTTTTGCAAGTAGTACGTCTTCTGACAGATTTTAAAATTATCTGTTTTTCTATAATATTCTGTACTTTCATCAAATGAATCTGGGTATGAATTTAATTCTATTTATCTTGCATCATTCTCAGAATTTATTTTTCTTCTAAAAACTCATGACATTTCCCCACTTCTGGAACACATTCAGCAAATATCTACTCAAAAAGATTTTTCCCTCCAAGATATACTCAATTATCTTTTCCTGAAACTCACTGATACTTTATAGTATACACTATGATCTACCACATTATAGATTTAATTGTTAAATTTACTGTTATTTTTATTAATAATTATTTTGGAGTGCCAAACATTCAATACAGGGAATTTTGCATACTAGGCAGGTGTTCTACCATTAAGCTGTACCCTCAGTCCTTTAATTTTTTTAAAAGACCTCATCTTGTACTGTACAGTGCAGGTAGAGCTTATGAACATTTTCAAATGCACTAGTTGTGTGCTTTTTTGTTTGTTGGAAACAATGGTCCTGCTACATTGCAGACTGACCTGGAACTAAGTACATAACTCAGGCTTGCCTCAAAGTTACTATATAGCTCCAGTTGGCCTTGGACTCACAATCCTTCTGCCTCAGTCTCCAAAACTGCTATAATTATACATATGAGTCACCACCCCTGGCTTCCTTATTCACTTTTTTAATTTAATTTTAAAAGGAACAGGATGCCGCAGCTCCAGCCCAACATGGCGATGCACAACAAGGCAGCCCCACCACAGATCCCGGACAACTGGCGGGAGCTGGTAGAGCTTGTGAAGCGGAAGCAGGAGCTGGTGGAAAAACTGGCAAACTTGGAGAGACAGATCTGTGCTTTTGAAGGAGGCTACCTGGAAGACACTCAGATGTACGGCAATATTCTTCATGGTGGGATCACTCTCTGACCAACCAAAAAATCTCCAGCAGCAAAAATGATTGAAGGAACCGGAAGTTTAAAGAAGCCAAACATAGTATCCAACATATACTATTCTTTTCCTATTTCTTAATATTTTTATTACTTTTTTGATGTTCCTGATCAAGCACTAACCATTCCATTGCAATGAACTAGTGGAAATTAATAGTATAATTATCTTAGCTATCTTGTATGTATATATATATACTTTTTTCCCTTCCCTCTTTTCTTTTTCCCCCATCCCAGTTGTTCATGTCCAGCCTCAACTTGTGCTCTAAAGTGATCTCATCTGTCGCACTTAGTATTTAAGGTAACATTTTTATTTATATACAACTAACTCCCTTACAGATGAAGTTCTTGATTTCATGTCTGCAATATTTAATTACTCCCTAACCCATTTTAAAGACAGCATTATTTCCCCTTATGTTTTTGATATTATTACATTATTTATATAGGTTTTTGCTAGAATCCTCTCCTTAAAATTATCATCTAGAATATCTCCCTTGCTAACAGGTGATTTGTTTAAATGTCTGTAGAATTACTGTCACATTGTCTTTTGCAAATTTGGTTTGTATACAGGCTTGGGATATTTTTCAATTTTGATTATGTTTCTTTTTTCCATAATTCTATTGAGAAACAAATAGCAATGAGACAGTTTCAAACCAAATTGGTAAGACAGTTTCAATAATTAACACATTGCATACTCTCTTCCTAGCAGTTGATTGCTGTTCAAGATGTGGACATGATCTCCTATTTACAAACACTGTTAGAACGAATCCCTCTATTTATTAAGAGAATGTAACTATATATCTATCCTAACCACTTTGAATACACAGATACAAAATGGACATCCATCTGTATCCCCTTTTCTTGTTTAGTTCCATTATTTGAATTGGTTATGTTTCTTAAATTGTTTTACCTCCTGTGTCTCTCCTTTGTGCTTATTATCCCTATACTTCTATTTGGTTTAGAGGCTTTGTTCTCAGTTTCTCAGTCTACAGCTAAGAATTAACAATGAAAGTTTGGCATTACTTTCTTTAGGAACATAATGTGTCCAATTAATTAAGAAACTAGAAGGCTTGGCTGAAGCCTCTCACTGTTCATAAAAATAAATCCACAGTCATCTGCTGTCAGCTCATGAAACAGAATCTGATATTCTCCACACTGTCTCATAAGTAAGAGAGTAAACCCAGCCTTGGGTTCACAGCATTCACTGTGGGCACTCCCCAGTCCTCAGCGGGACTCTTTTAGTCTTCCTTATCCAAGAGGTGCCAAATGCTGACACTGTCATTTCTAAGAGCTTCGTAAGACTACACAGTTATGGTTTTATGATTCATTACTTTTGATTCATGACAACGTTCACCAGATATGTAAGGTCAACCATCACTTTAGCTTTCTCTTTTTGTAATGTACTCATGACTGCTGTTTTTGGATCAGAGATCAACTCTTCCACATAGTAATCTGAAAATTTTCCAGTACTTTGTTCATGGCATCTTCATGTTCAGAAAACACGACACTGGATATTTTTACAAAGTTCAAATTTTAGTAACATTATGAAATACAATGCAGCATGTAAAATAATCAACAAAGTATACTGCATTTAAATTTTCTTGTAAATGCTTGCGGAAGATAGTTTTTTTTTCAATTTTTGCAACAAAACCCTGTGCAAAATATCATAATGTATTCCATAATCATATTCAAATGAGAATAGAATACATCTATGTCTGTCCATGTCTGCCACATTTTATTTAATTACTGCCCAACCCATTTTAAAGATAGCATCATTTTCCCTTATGTTTTTGATATTATCACATTATTTTTATGGGTTTTGCTAGAATCCACTAGCTAAAATTGTCATTTAGAATATCTTTCTTTCTAAAAAGTGATTTTGCTATATCTCTATAGAATTAACTGTTACAATGCATTCTACAAACTTGGTCTGCATACAACTTGGGGTATTTTTGTGTAAGACTTCACTAACCACGGACTTAAATAATAAATTAAAAAATAAATCAAAAGCCTATGTAATTTTAGTTCATCTTTCTTTCTTGATTAAAAACATTTTTGTTGAATTAAATATGTTGCAACAAAGGCACCAAAATAAAACAAATTTCATCCTCTTCCCAGGAAATTTCTTGTGCTTACTTAAATCAAATAAAATAAAACACATGTAAGTCATACATACGGATAAATTGCTTCTTTAATGTTTGTGAAAATCTGTTTTCCTATCATTATGATGGTCAGCTGGGTTGTCAGTTCTACTAAGCAGCCCCCAGGATCACACTAGTTGGAAGCAAAGAGAGGAGAAAAATGAATGTTTGAAGACAGAATTATGAAACTAAAAGAAGCCCTAAAGCATTATTTTAGATACTCAAGATTTTAGTTCAGGAAAGCATATTAAAGGGATTAAAGAGATATTAAAGGGATTAAAGAGATATTTAGCTGTATAGTTCCAAGCATGATCCTAGATCAGCTCCAGGCTAGCCACAGTAGATTCACCTGCAAACTGTCTTTACTGGGGGGAGAGGGCGGGCGGGGGGTCTGAGTCCCACACAGTGCTGATCTTTACATGTGGCTGGGGTCAGGAGTCAGAATATTCTCCTTGTAACCCGGATGTTCCACCAGGATTGGAAAGCATTGAGCTTGTCTAACCCTGCAGCCAAAAGTGAAGGCTTTTCTCCAAAAAGTAATCACATATCCTTTGTAGGAAGCCATTAGGAATATAGATATTACTTATTTCACACTTCACATCTTACAGCCAAGCCACCGACATCAATATAAACTCTTATACCGAGCAACTCAAAAGTCTAACCAATGAAAAGAATCATCTGTGGACACTCGAGGCCTAGATTTGTCTTGCAACTTGGTAACATTTCCGTTAGCACTGGGCTCAAAGAAAATTCGTGGTTAATAGTGGGTTATTGAAGATATATAGCTCAACTCTCAAGAGAATTCTTACCTCTTCACTTCGCCACACATTAAACAAATACGTGTATTTCCCAGGGTAGCCCACAAACTTTCCTTTAAAGAAAGCGACGTAGAAGCAAGATGAGTAAAAATTCACAAACTGGAAGAGGAACATCTTCAAAGTGAGACTGCTCTCGTACTCCTGGTAAGTTCGAGGAAGTTCTGTGAAGGAAAAACAACAAGGTTTAGTACCCTTTCCAGTTTCTTCTTGAATTGTGTACCCACTGAGATAAGGGGAATTGCAGTAATATTATTCTGAAGGTCTGTGGAAATCTACCCACTCTGGTCATAGAAGAGCAAAGTGAGAAGCTATGATTTCGTCTAGGCTTTCTGTTGACCCTTTGTGTAACTCTAACTACTGAAACACAATCAGAACGCAGTCAGAATTTGGAACTGAAATTTCCTAAAACCTCTCAAGATTACTGCCTGAGATTAAATGACATCATGTAAATGTTTCAAATTCATATCCTTTGTCTGTTTTCTATCTGGTTTAAACAATGTATAATTAAGGACCAGCCAGACAGTTCAGTGGATTAAAACACCTGCTTAGGCAGGCGCAGAGATGGGGGTTCGATCCCCTGCATGCCATGCTGGCCTAGTCCTGCCCCTGGGATGCACTAAAACAGCGATTAAGACTGGGCAAGGTGGTGCGCACCTGTAATCCCAACACTTGGGAGGTTGAAAACAGGAGAATCACTACAAGTTGAATCTGTGTAGTGAGACTCTATAGATAGACTTTGTAATAGATACATTAAAAAAAGTATAATTACATCACTGGCAGAGATGATTTCCAGTAGAACTGGGCTTTCTTCTCATGAATTGAATGATTGTATGACAGCAAATGGTGGTGGAAAGAGAACACATTTTCCTTCTTTTTTTTTTTTTTTGGCGGAACCAGGGATTGAACTCAGACCCTTGCACTGAGCCATCTCCCGGACCCTCACATTTTCCTTCTTTATTTACAACGCACGATAGTGATTTGTCATTTAACAAATTCTGAAGATAAGGAAATATTAAATTATCTTCATGCCACACTAAAGCAACATGAAGGGCAAAGAGGAATGGAGTGTGTTTCTCAAGTGGATAATTTCCCAAGAGCACAGCTGACACAGCCAAATCCTGGACGCTTTCAGAAATACTGAATAGCAACAAATTATCCTAAAGAGATGGAGAATGCCTGCACTTTAGTGAAATCCTGTTGCTGCCCTACAAATTCTCTAATAGGAATTCAAGTGATTTTTTTCATACTGGAGAAAGCTCTGATTTGTTCAGTTGTCTTAAAAAATGTACCTGTTATAATTTTCTTGCCATTGTTAGCATTAAAAATAAAATTAAAGGTGAGTCCTAGTTTGAAGATGGCTTATAAGTAGGGTTAACAGCTTCCACCTGGGGCTGGGTGGAGACAGTGCTCTTGCTGCCCACCATGGGTCTGGGGTCAGGGCACAGCCTGGGGGAACAGACTGCAAGGCTACCCACGCTTCTGGGCAGAGGACTCAGAGAAGGGGTCACACCTTGGTTTGAGCCTCTGATTTAAACCCTAGCTTGGCCACAAGGAAGAAGGAATTCTGCTGTGTTACTCTCTTGAATGGCCTCCCTTTCTTGCTTATGACCTTCTGTATCTCCCTTCAGGGCTTCAGGAGAAATTTTGAAACTTCAAAAAGACAATAATCCCTGATCAAAGAGATGGCAGTTGAAGGACAAAACACGAGGTGAGGTTTATTTAGCAGAATTTGATGTTCAGTTTTTCTCATGACTTCCAAAGTTAAACATCTTCTCAGCATCATGCATATCAAATCATATTCTCACCTAATCATATTTTCTGTAATCAAGTGGTGTCTTGATTACATTCAGCTTTTCACTCAGGATTCAGCTAGCTGCCCCCCTCCCCATCCTCAGGAAGAGTAGGCAAAAATACTCAGAATGACTGTGGGAGTCCTAGAGCTTCCTTGTCTTCCTCCTTATCCTCTGTCCATTAGGATAGGCTCTTAGGCAATTCTGAAGTGCCAGTTGTGGGTCTACCCCCAAAACAAGACCATCTAAACTATGACCTCAGGAAATGAGACTTTGAGAAAGCAAGGATCCCAGCGAATGTCCAGCACTGCCAGGAGCCCACTTCCCACCACCGCTTTTGGTTAGCTTACCCATTTTCGTAATCCACGCAGATATTTTTTCATAAAAGAAATTCAAGATCAAGATGACAATGAAGTTCAAGCAGGACCCTGTGAGTGATGTGGCTAGCTGGGGTGTGAAGAACCGCTTGACCTCCTGCAAGGTTGCCTCGCTCTCCATGAAGCTCGCAAATGCAGCGAAGACCGATAGGCGGTACACAATCACAGCCACCATGCTGGTGACCACGAGAGCCATCTGGGCAGAGAGAACACAAGGGTCATGCTGGCCTCGGGATCTCCGCAACGTCTGCAGGTCCACAGCAGGTGCTGCTCATCACCTTGCCATGCTAACTTCAGCAGCTCTGGCGTCCAAAGTAAACTGAGGCAGTCTGAGTTTCTCAATTAATAATGGCAGGAAATGGACACAAACGAGGCAACAGCGGCTGAAGCTGAATCACTTAGCAGCAGCAGCAGCAGCAGCAGCTGATTAAGTACAGATAAAACAAGTGCACTCACTGCCTGGCCTCTAGCAGGGCTTGGCAAAGGCAGCCAGAATTTGACATCCTACCCACAGTCTGTCTGTTCTTGTAGGGCCTTTAAGTTAAAGTTTGCACTGCCTTTTTAAATGTTGTAAAGAAAAACAATCATGAATCAGAAACTTGATGTAGCCATAAAACCTAAATTATATTTGGCCTTGTTAGGAACTGAATCATTTCATAGTTGCTGAATCATTGTCTAGGAAGAGTGCCACAGCATCTAGATAAATTCCGCACATTCCCAACACTGCAAGAGCCAAAGATGGCTTTAGATCAATAGAGAACTTCATTCTCAAGGTTGAAGAATAATCTTTCTGGGACTGTAATCCAGGATAGTTCTTACAGAGTGTCCTAAACTGATTATTCTCCTCTCTTTTTCCTAAACTGATTATTCTCCTCTCTTTTATTCTCGCCTGTCTCCTTCTTGATTGTTATGTGATGTAAGAAAACACATTTCTACATACATTTTTAAAATACAGAAATAATAGCTTTAACAAGAAATGTTAAAAACAAAACATGTATGCACTAAGGGATTTAAACTGTAGTCTACAACTGCTAATTTATTAAATTAAATTTAAATTTATTATTATTGTACTTTTACTAGTTTGAAGGGTAAGGTGATTACATTTATTGTGGGGCATTTGTACACATTCACAATACATCTTCATTCCTTTTGCACCTCCTTCCTCTTGTATCCCTCCCTCTTCCCTCTAATTCTTAATCCCTTTTGCATTTGCAAAACACTCTGTTCATTTAGCTGCACTTCCACACACTGACTCCTCAGAAGTTCACATCATCTCTCTTAAAATCACAGCCTACGGGGAATAGAAGGGAAATAGACTGTGGCGATACAGAAATCTCTTAGCAAAAGAGCTGAAGAAAAAATGACTCCATCACATTGGAATATTTTAAATAATTCATACAGAAGCAGATGCATTTTCTGCTTATTGCAGGAACAGAATGGAATTTAGCGGCATGTGTTGCTTATTCATTTATGCAGATATTTTACATAGATGGTGATAAGGATAATTTAATGATTGATTGAAACCTCACCAGAGTCTGCAATGAAGGCAACTTTGCTATTCTGTCCTGGTTTCAAGTTAGCCCTTAATTAAAGCAGTGTGAGATGAAGGGAAAGCGTCTGTAAAATAAAGCATCTCTCTGTTCCTCTTGATCACTCCCCGAAGTTAAATTATGGAAAATCCTTGCAATTAGAGTTTATTTTATATAAGAGTGCGACAAGATAAAAGGACCATTGAGGAGGAGGGCAGACTCCAGAGACACTGCCAGGGAAACTGCTGAATCACCCACATGATTGATTTCCTGTGAAAGGGATGATCATATTTTTCAAAGCAAAGCTCACCCACAGTGTCACTGTAGCTCCTGATAAGAAGTACCATGGAATATGACGAAGCAGAGGCATGTGAGGCTCCATCTCCTGGAACAGTAAAGAAATCACCAACGTAGTCAGCTTTTGCCCTCAGGGTCGGCACTGCAAGCAGCAGACAAAAGCACAACGCAGAGGTAAATCTGAAAAACCACCAAAGGGCTCCCTGCCTGGCACATGGGTGTTCACATTCTGGAATTGGCTTCTTCCCCCATGGAGAAACTGTGGGGGCCCTAGATGAGACATCTTAGACATGCTAAGCGCTACAGAGATGCATACTAAGTCCTGTTCATGGTCTCACAGATAGGAGATGGCATCAAATCCTCATGATTGCTAGTTAAGAAGACATGATTTAATAAACTGCATTTTAATCTCATTGCACTGTAATGAACATCATGCTCTGCATATATTAAATTGGGCTGTATCCCTTATATTGATGGGATGAGCTGCTCTTCCCTGTAATTCAGCAGCAGATCAGATGTTCCTACTTTTAGGCTTAAAGTTATTAATGGAAGATATTAATTTTAGATTGGTAATGTTCTTTGCATCGAAAGGTATGTAAATTTCACAAAACAAACTCTACAGCTATGCATTACAAAAAGTTGCCAAAGAAACCTAAAGCACATACTTCTACCAAATATAAGACTTCAATTTAGGAAGTTTTAGTGTAGACTGAAGTCAAACAGAACTCTCAGAGGTAGTGTAGGCTGTGCTTAGGACTAGAATGTCAGAATGTGTGTATGTGCGTGTGTGTGTGTGTGCGCACACGTGTGATTCGTACAGCTCTTCATGCATATGCATATGATGTACAAGTGTGTTAGTGGGTGCTTGTGCATATTTGTGTGTGCACGTGTCTGTACATGAGTGTGCTTGCTGTGCCAAAAGAATATGAGAATTCTTTTATACTTAAACACCAAAAAAGCCTGTAAAAAAAGAAAAGATTCTATCTCTTGATTTCAAAATCCACAAACCTAGCTCAAGCGAAATGAGTGACTCACAGCGATTCTATAGTAACTGCTTTTCAACTATTTCCAAAAGAAAACATTTAATGTGCTTTTCCCGTGCTAAATCTTTGCTCATGCTAAGAACCTTGCTTCCACATTCCTTTTTGCATCCTGAAATAGGAATAAACATTGTGTCCGTGTTCTGTCTATATCCTTCTGTAATTTCAAACTAACACTCAAAGGATGGATGTATTTTCTGAGGATTTCTCCTCTATTCACTTATTTACTGATTTTTGTGATCTCCCAATAAAATTTATTTTTAAGTTTTTAAAATACGTATTAGTACGTGTTCTCAGGGCGTACGTCGTGGGCAGTTGGGACAGGTGCATGATGCATTTAGTTCTTTGCTTCTTCCTCCACCCCTCGTATCTCCACCCATCTCTTGATCTCCTTCCCATTTACAAAAGATCTATTCCCCTTCTGCTACTATTTTATACTTGGCTCTTTTATTTCTATTTTGCATCTCTCATGTAAGAGGAAAAATGGGTATTTAAGCTTGTGTGTTTGATTTATTTCATTTAACATGAGGTCTCCAGGTGCACACACTCTCCTACAAATGGCTCGAGTTTACTCTTTATAGCTGAGAGCTACTATACTGTGATAAGTAACACTTCTGCTTCATTTACTCATCTGGTGACAGACATAGAAGCTACTTACAAGATTTCGATTTTGAGGTGGACTGCTATAAACATTAGTATGCTTGTGTCACTCTGATATGAGATCTTTGCCTCTTTTGGGAAGGTAACAGGGGAGTAGCTGGGCCAAAGGAAATTTGTAGTTTCATTTTTTTAAGCTTTACTTTCATATTTTATTTTATTTGTTTGCACCTGTTTGCAGTAGGTAGTGATGATATTCATTATGGGGAGCGATAAATTTTTGAGGACTCCCAAGTTTTCATTCCCGCTACAATGTGGAAGTGTTGCTTTTCCCTGCAGCCTCATCAGTACTTGTCACTTTTACTTCCCAATGACAGCCATTCTTTCCGGAGTAAGAGGGAAATTTAAATCTTGTAGTGAATGTGTAAGCTATAAAATTTCAATTGCTGTAGCCCAGACTGGGGATTGAACCCAGGTACTTTGCACTAAGTTAGGTCCCCAGAATTTTAAATTATTTATTTAATTTTAATTCTTTACTAGTATATGTTTATAATACATGCAGGTTCCAGACACCTTTGGGAGGGGGTACAAATACTTTGATAATTATGAAACACAGTCTCACTAAGTTGCGAAGCTGCTCAGGCTGGTCTAGAGCTTGCCAACCTCTTGCTTCTGCCTCCCGAAAGGCTGGGGCCACAGAAAGGGCTGCAGGGCTCACCCTCTATGCTCGTTAATAGAGCAGATAGCACAGGGAATCCTGAGAAGGCACAGCCAACATGCCAATCTTCAGAGGCAAAGCGCCTGCACTCTCAAATGAGAAAATTCAGGTATGGAGAAGGGAAATGACTCTGACAAAAATACACAATTAGTTTGACAGTTAAGGGTTCTTGAGTCTTGAATCTTAATGAGAACCTATTTAAAAAAAAAAAAAAAAAAAAGAAAAGAAAAAAGAAAGAAATGAATGAATGAATTAAAAGGACTGAGGGTGTAGCCCAGTGCCGAGGCTCTGATTTCCATCCCCAGTAAAAGGGGAGCAAAAACAGAAGAAGAAGAGAGCCCAGGTCTCAGACACAGCCCCCTGAGTCACCAACTCAATTGTCTTCCCAACACAATCAGCAGAAAGTGGCTGCAAAAGCAAAATTTGTTAATATGAAACATTCACTTATAAACCTACTTAAAGCAACTGCTATTTTATTTATTCATAATAAATTAGCATCACTTCCATTTCCACGTCTAGGGGTTTATTAGACAAAGCAGCCTATAACTTATACACTATTTTCCTCCTTCCCACTTAGTACTGGAGCTCTATGTTTCCTATTCGCAGGCCTTGTTTGTTTTGAATTCTTTGCTTTAAACTAATCCACAGGCAGAAAGTCATGAGGTATCAATGAAAAGACCACACATGAAATAAAAATGATTGAAGATGAGTAATAGGCTATTTACAGTGCTTATTATACTGTACTTTTGTCTTTATTGTTTGTGTTTGGAATTTTTCATGCATAATGTTGTGGTTTGTGTCTAGTTGTTCCCCCAAAGCCTCATGGAATCATTGAGGCAGGCTTCTAGAGCTTGTGATTAATTCATGATCCAGTGCTGAGATTATGGGTGTGAGTGCTACACTTGCCCTGGGGCCAAGAGCCTGAATAGAATATTAGGAAGAGAGAGGTTTGCTACTGCCAGAGCCACTGCTCCTCCCTTTTGGCTCTTGCTCTTTCCTGTTTTCCGAGGCCAAGAACTCTGCCCTGTGCCATCTGCCTTGGCACCACCTGAGTATGGACTGAAAACTCCACTAACTGTGAGCTAATCAAACCTTTCCTTCCTTAATTTTGGGTGTCACATATTTTGTCCCAGCAACGAGAGAAAAGTAACCGAGACATACACATACAAGAGTATATTTATAGATTAGAAATAAGTAAGAATGTTTGAATAGTTTATACTTTGGGGAATGTTTTAAAGCAAATTAAAACAGACTTCATTCCCTGAGAAGCACCCCACAGCAGAACGCCCAGCAAAAGGTGCAGCTCACTTCCCGAGCCCCGGGGTACCTTCGTGATGGTGTTCATCTTCCTGTGCTTGCACATGGCTTCGAACTCAGGTCTCAGCTGGTGCTGCTGCTGCTCCTCCTC